GACAAGGGTCCCTATTAAAATTGCCGATAGTGTTTACGAGTGAGACAAATTACAAGCCTGCCAGTTTGGTCACTTTCAAAATAGGGCTTGTCAAAAAGGCCTTTTCTGCGAAAAAAATCAAAATAGCACAATAGCATCTTCCTTTGTATCAATAATAAATAAATATTGACTGCAACTGCCTACTGTTTGAACACGTTTTGACTTCAAAGCCTTTATGGAGAAGGATGGGGTGGTTGTTCCTGCACTAAGTGATCCCAAATGGCTCATCGACTTTGCTTTTCTTGTTGACTATAACAGTAGCTAAATGTACTAAGAACGAAGTTACAAGACAAGGGGCAGCTTGTCAGTGTTGCCTATGACAATGTCAGGGCATTCTGCACAAAATGTGTGTGATGGTTCTTAGAGAAATCTTTGCCATTTCCCAACATGCAAATTACTCATGGACTCGGGCACACCACTCTGTAGTAAGTAGACTGATGCTATTGCAAAGCTACAGGAAGAATTTGATCAAATGTTTGCAGACTTCAAAACACACATAGCCACTTTTCAAATTGCAACCCCCCACCCCATTTTTTTTTATTTTTGCGCTTCAAATGGAGCTGATTGATCTTCAGCGCTAGTTAAGGGAGGTGAATGGGAAAACAGACAAGAATGTGCAATTTATAAGAGTATTGTCCTCCTCCTTCCCTGACATTTCTAGGTTCATGTGCTTCTTTGGGAGTACCTATCGGTGTGAAAACTTTGTCCACTATGAACTCAAAAGTCAAAGTTCAGAGCCAAACTTACAAATGAGCATCTTCAAACTATACTGAGGGTTACAGTTGATTCCTCACTCAAGCCAAATGTTGCTCAGCTGTCTAAGAAGAGGCGCTGCCAGGTCTCTGTCAACAATGAGTAGGAGGAATGTGAAGCCAAGTTCTTGAGAAACCTTAATTTTTTGTTATTAATAAAGTTCCTCACTCAAGCCAAATGTTGCTCAGCTGTCTAAGAAGAGGCGCTGCCAGGTCTCTGTCAACAATGAGTAGGAGGAATGTGAAGCCAAGTTCTTGAGAAACCTTAATTTTTTGTTATTAATAAAGTTCCTCGCTCAAGCCAAATGTTGCTCAGCTGTCTAAGAAGAGGTGCTGCCAGGTCCCTGTCAACAATGAGTAGGAGGAATGTGAAGCCTAGTTCTTGAGAAACCTTACTTTTTTGTTATTAATAAAGGTCGAGCAGATTTTACCAGTTTTTCTTAATTGAATTTGTAATGGCTTTTTTGTGTGGAATACTTGATGTGGCTCAGTCTCATTCAGACTCTACCTCCTGTTGCCACCGGATAATTTGAGTTTGAGACCCCTGATTTAGACACAAAGAAATGCACTGCAAGTTTAGATTTTCAAATAATTAGAAGCCTTTTAGTAGCGATTCTCAACTGAATTCTCAAGCTTTAGCAGATCTCAAACTATAGTAGATCTAAAACTGCAGTTGATCTAAAACTGCAGTTGATCTAAAACTGTAGTACATCTAAAATTGTAGTAGGTCTGAAAGAAACTTTAGTACATTTCAAACTGTAGTAGATCTAAAACTTTAGTAGATCTCAAAGAAACTTTAGTACATTTCAAATTGTAGTAGATCTGAAATATGTAGTAGATCTCAAAAAAACTATTGTACATTTCAAACCGTAGTAGATCTCAAACTTTATTAGATCTCATATTGTGCTGGGTATAGTTCTTGTATACCTGTCGTCTACACCGGGTTGAGAGCAGTGATTATTTCAGAAATTTTCCCCCGAGGGGCACTTCAGATTATTTTTTTTTGGGGGGGGGGGGGGGTGCCACCAGGGCCAGTTGATTTTTTGTGGGACATATTTTTGCCCCTGGGGGCCCTTGGCTTTCCCCGGGGGGGGTGCCCCCCCCCCCCCACATGAATAAAACTTATTCAATCATTTTGCGCTAGTAAAATCCATAAATCAATCTTGATATGATTTTATCATTTATTATTGCTAATATCGACGTATCATGAAAGAAACCCTGGTTAAAAGTGGCCACTTTGTGGGTTGCATGTGATGGTATTTGTTTTGTTTTTTCTTTCTTTCATGATACGTCGATATTAGCAATAATAAATGATAAAATCATATCAAGATTGATTTATGGATTTTACTAGCGCAAAATGATTGAATAAGTTTTATTCATGGGAATTTTCCTAACAGCTCTCACTGTTTCATAGTTATGTATTGTGATATACCGAATATCGAGCTATTGAAGACTATGGAGAAATAAAACTGATAATCGTCATGTTGGGGAAATCCCCATAGCACTGCCCACGTCTCCGTTTATTTGGAACTGATTTGCACCACTCATCACAACAGCAGATACAAGAAACATTACACTCAGCAGTATTGGTGTGTTACACATCCCCAATGCTCCGGTGACTCAGAGGCGTAGCTAGAGTGATGGCGCCTGGGGTCACGATTCATTTTAAAGCACATCCCTTCATCTTTTCAACTCTCAAACCCATTATTTTCATCAATAAAATAATATCAAAGCACATTTGGGCGCCCATAATTAGTCTGGCACCCGGGGAATCTGACGCCTGGGGAATCTGTCCCCCCCCCCGTTCCCAGGGACATCTGTCCCCTTTGCCCCCTTAGCTACGCCTCTGCGGTGACTACATGTTGCGGATGGAGATTTTACACGAGAGCCTGCGACAGATGGCTATGACGTAATATACATCACAGGTGTTCAGCTCGGGGACCTAAATGGGTGGGTCAGTTGGACTTTCTGTCGAACAAGCAGCAACGTGTAAAAGATACTGAAGGTCCACAGAATTATCTCCCCAGTGTTTAGTTTTATGAAACGCCTGATACGTATCGAAACATGTAATGTGCTAATTGTATTTGTGTTTACTGAAATCGCGTTTATTTTAATTATATTTATTGCAATTTTGTTTCTTTTAATTGTGTTTTAGTAGTGCAGATCTATCTGAGATAAGCTGATACATTGGAAGAAATGTTGGATTCCTTTTTAATCATTTCATGATCATGTAGTTAATTAATTTTTATAATCTTCCCACAGAGAACATTTGGATGCGGTTTTTTCTTCAGAGCCATCATCACGCTCTCAACGAGTTCCGTACACAATCGTCTCCAAGAAGATTGCACTCACTACCCGGCTTTCATCATATCGGATAGTGGATTAACTACACTCTAAACTAACTCGGCCATTCTAAAGCCGGGCTATCTGAGCAGCCCAGGAGACGATAAAGTCGACGCCCATCTTTACAAATTAAAGAAAGCGTTCACCGCTTAACTAGGACGTCATCTCGGGGTGTGAGCAATCTTTCCAGCAAGCGTTTGTGTCGTTCTCATTGATCATGGCCAGAAAATTGTGATAGAGCGCACGAGATGTCCGGCGATCATTAGACTGAATGGTGTCTCTCCAAGTTGACATTCTCTGAACTGTTCTAGATGGATCTTGATTATTTCTTACTTACGCCAACCCCCCCCCCCCTTTCAAATCTTGTACGTTAATGGATGCAGAATTTAGAGCAGTCTAATAAAAATAATATTTTAAAAGCTGCTGAAGGGGATAAGTCATGATGTAATTGTCACAAGCTCTGAAAAAATTCAATCCAAAAATTCCTTTTTTTTATAACCTTGTTATTTATGTTGCGTGGATACTTTAAGAAGTGAAAATTATGTAATTTTAAAGAGTTCAAATTTAAATAGAGTATGTAATCATGCACGCTCTTCTAAATAGAGCTTAAATGTGTTAAGTGTTACTTATGTAGTAACACTGTAATGTTACAAGTCTATGGAAATGATTTCCAATCCAATGGATATACCCCACAGTCATCAACCCGCGACGTGTTTAAAGATAAAACTTCTATGGGTCGACTCCAACAACTTGCTGCAAATGTCTTCTATGCGTTTCCATTGCGATGCACTTCATGGGAATTTCCCCGTGACACCAACCACGATATCCCGTGTAGTGGAACCGTCGATAGACGCTACCATTGGCCGCACGTGCCAGTGTCTGAAACATGCCGGAGCTAAACCCGTCCTTACCAGCTTTACAAACATTTACAGCCGTGCTGAGAAATATTCTGTACAAGATCAACAACATGATGCCAAAGAGAAATCCCCGAGGAATAAAATTTCAACAACTGGGTCAATGGAATTCCTAGCATCATGCCCTGAAAAACGATGGAATAGCTTCCTTTCATGCAGAGGAATGTGTACTCATATTGGGAATTTAAACGCCTATTTTTCATTCAGATTTCTTTCGCCGGAAAGGGGTGCGTTAATCAATGTAGAGCGCCTCCCGCAAGAACGTGTTTGCAAGGTAGAGAAAATGAACTCCGCCTCATGCCGTGGATCCAATATCTTCTACAAAACTAAATTAAATAGACAGAAATCTTCGTATTCAGTAACATCGAACATTCATTTCATTCCAAAAGAAATAACAGGAAATATAAGCCATTCAGAATATTCCACCGAACGTAAGTCGTCCCCAGGAATCAGGACATGCGTGGACTGTAAAGCTTCATTCATGAAAACAAGTGACACGCCTTGTGTTGGACGCTTCAGGTTTGAATCAAGCTCAGACAAATCCCCAAAAAGCCTTAGGAGCCATTCCGATTCACGTGCTAACATTTGGTCTTTGGACACGAATCACTGTTCATCGACACCATCCACTGACACCCACGCAACCCGAAGCAGCAACACGACAGCATCTTTTCCCACAAAGCCCACCCGCACGTTTGAGCAGCGGTGGAGACCTACCAAAATCGTCTCCGACTATCCGTCACGTGTATCTACTTTGCTCTCGTTCGTGTTGGTCTTCCTAACGCTAGTCGCCTCACAAACCAACGGCCAGAACATAAAAGCTGGCATACATGCCATCTACCCCGATAGGATTAGCATGTCCAAGGCCCTCTCTACGGAGCTGATCAGCACGCTGTACAGCGTGAGGCGGAATCTCCATGTGTTACGGAGCGTGTATGACATTGAGCACGTGAACACGTCCCTGAAAAATGACGACCCGAAGGAGATTCTCAATTTGTTCTGCAAAGGTGTGTTTCCTCATCACGTGACGACGATTCTGAACATCAATAATCCTCTGGGGATGAAGAGGAGGACCAGTTCCAACCAGTATATTCTGGAACTAGCAAGTTACCTTGGATTACCAATTATATCCTGGGATACAGAGTACATAGTAGGCTCTCAGGTAACGAGATATAATAATAAAAATAATAATAATCACAATAATAATAATAATAAACTTTTTGTTTCATAAATGTCTTATCGGGCATTTTTTTAAACTATTATTTTTTAAGTTAATTTTAATGTAATCCAAATGGAACACTAAACAAAAACGAATTGAATACTAATTGAATACCAATTGCATACTAAATAAATATTAATTGAATACTAATTGAATCTAATTAAAAACTGATTGAATACTAATTGAATACTCATTGCATACTTATTGAATACTAATTGAATTTTAATTGAATACTAAATGAATAGTAATCATCGAATACAGCTTTGCGTTTTTTGTAAATAATTAACCTTAAAATAGAAACCCATATTTTTAATGGGTTAAAAAATTGGTGTTTTGATTTATAACCTTGGCAGTTCACGGTGGGGGGGGGGGGGGGCGGGAAAGTCTGCACAGATTTTTTGTAAATAATTAACCTTAAAATAGAAACCCATATTTTTAATGGGGTAAAAAATTGGTGTTTTGATTTATAACCTTGGCAGGTCACGGGGGGGGGGGGGGGCTGGAAAGTCTGCACAGTACGATGCAGAGGTGCGAGCATATGTCTACCCCACCCACCCCCAACCAAAATCCTATTGAAATGTGCCTCAAAAAGCATTGTGTAAAACGTGAAAGCAAAAGATACCTTGACCCGAAGATAAACGCATGTTCTACCCAACAAATGGCGCTCCTTTTGAGATGTACTAAAATGTTGTTTGTAAGACATAATACAATTTGGATTTTGTTTGCAGAAAGGTCAATACGTTTTTTTAATTTATATTTTTATTTCATTTATAGATATTTTTTTAGTAGCGGGCGATAAGAGTTTTATTTCTTTACCAAAGAACACAAAACAAAAAAAACAACAGATAGTTTGGCCTAGTGAAAATTGCAGTTGTTCCAAAGTGAACTGTAAATTTGGTCTGTTCAATAGATCTATTCACAGATCAAGTACAGTTTGCTTATTCTTCTACTTTAACATTCAATTTCACATTTGCAGTTTGATACCAACATTTTGTTGCCAATAATTTTATTAACTTAAAAGATAGGCCTTCTGTACCTAGAAAAGAGAAACTGGGTCTACAGTAGCAAGTAAGCGAAACTTAGCCTTAAATAGCGAGTAAGAGAAACTGGGCCTACAGTAGCGTATAAGAGAAACTGGTCCTATAGTGGCGAGTAAGAGAAAATGGGCCAAGAGTAGCGAGTAAGAGAAAATGGGCCAAAAGTAGCGAGTAAGAGAACTGGGCCTACAGTAGCGAGTAAAAGAACTTGGCCTACAATAGCGAGTAAGAGAAACTAGGCCTACAGTAGCGAGTAAGAGAACTGGGCCTACAATAGCGAGTGAGAGAAACTGGGCCTACAGTAGCGAATAGGAGAAACTAGGACTACAGTATCGTATAAGAGAAACTGGAACTACAGTATCGTATGAGAGAAACTGGGACTACAGTAGCATATAAGAGAAACTGGACCTACAGTATCGTGTAAGAGAAACTTTCCCCAATCTCTTCACACATCAACGGAGAGCAACATAAAGGTGCATTAGGTGTATCCATTACGGCACTGATTTCGTGCACAAACACACCAGAGAGAGTGAAAATGGAAAACAAATGTATTCAGCTCTTCGGTACCATATCTTCACATGGTATCAAATAATGTTTCTCAATTTCCCTGTATTTCTTCTTTTTTTCGTATTCCTTATATTTTATGTATCCCTAAATAGTTGATCCGTTAAGATTCTCTCCCTTATTTTTTACATTGATTGATTGGATATTTAAATAGCTCTGGTATCCATACCCCTTTAGCATGCTCACTGCGCTCTGATTTTCTTTAATCTTTTTAAACAAAAATTTTTTTAAAATGTTTCTTAAATGATTTTTTTTATCATTTACAATTCTCCTTAAAGATTAAGGCAAACTGTTCCATAATTTTGGCGCTATCGTTTCAAAAGAGCGCACTCCGTAAGAATTTTTTCTTAGTGTTCATCCACACTAAGAACTCTCAGTAAGTACTGTGTTGAAGACCGCAGGCTCTTCAAGGATACATGTTTATAAATCAGTTCTTTAAGATATTCCGGTGCTGAGCCATCTATGCAGCTGTACGCCAGGTACAGAATTTTGTAGTTATTGCGCTCACTCACAGTAACCAATGGAGATCTCGTAGAACTGGGGTGATGTGGTCAGATTTCTTCATCCGCGATACAATGCGTGCTGCAGTATTTTTGTACCTTTTGGAGTGTCTGAATTTGGTTCTGAGGTAAACCCCGCAAACAACTGTTACAGTAATCTAATCTTGACTGGATTAGAGTTACCGCTCCAGCGGTGGCTGTTCTCCTATTGAGTTGAGGACGCAGCTGACCCAGGGCGCGCAGATGACAGAAGCATGCTTTGACCACAGATTGAAACTTTTCAAGCAAGACATAAGTGTCTAGATCCTGCACAGCACCAATATTTATAGTCTTTCAACTCCTTTAATTCTACTTCCGGCAACAAAAAGGAAATCTCTTTTTTCACTGTAATCTGACACTTATTATATTTTTTTTGTCTTGTTTTCTGATGAAGGCTCTTAGCCGAAACGTCAACCTTTTGTCCTGTCAATGAATTCAAGTTGACCAAACCTTGTCCTTATATTTCATTTCACAACTTGAATGCAGTCCATCAATTATTATCCCTACCAGTTAGAAATTAAATTGCAACCGATTAAAATAATGTAATAGCACAAAACATGACCAAAGTCTATAAAACTCAATAGGATCAATCAGAAGTGTTTTGATCTGAGGGGACTAAATCCAAGTATTCCTATTTCCCGCACCAATGTAAAAGGTTTTCTTGGAACAAAAGCTTGACATAATCGCCCTTTCCTCCAGGAACGTCATTTGGGTAGGGCAGGGTGGGGCATTTGCCCCCAACCCCCCACCCCGAATTGGCAGGTTTTATTTAAATGCTATGTACTATGGCGCCTCCAGTAATAAACAACTTAACAAGCCGACGAAGTTTTAGTTTTTCCCCCTCCCACTTGAAAAAACCTGAAATGACGCCCCTGCTTCCCTCTTTCATTTTCTCCTCAAACTTACAGTCTTATATATGTTAAATATATCTACTCTCTAACAATATTGTACATGTACGCCTTTTCTATTCTCTAAACCACCATACATAACATTTTTTTATTGCCGTTACACAATTCCTATATATTTCTTTTTATTTGTGGATGCACGCATGAGTTTTAAAAGAATTCTTAATTTTAATTCACGGCCTTCCATTCTTACCCCCTGTGTCCTCGTAGTCCCTGCGAACTGTCCAGTTGGCTCCGACCATTGAACACCAAGCTAAAGCTATGGTCAGCATGCTGGAGCGCTACAACTGGACGGCCTTCACCATAGTTACAGGCCCTGTATCTGGGAGCAGTCAGTTTGTCACCAGTATTGAGAACATGGTTGAGCAGAGCCAGAAGAATGCCCTCAAGACCCCAGCACATTCAAGAAAGGAGAGGTGAGAAACCGAGGGTGAGGTCTCGGCCTCAGGGGAGCGGCTACTTTCTTTTGTGTTAAATACCTTTAAAAATATACCAAATAAAAAAATGGGGAAGGGGGGGGGGGGGGGGTGATACGAATGAATCGAAGGGATCGATACTTTATTGGAATGCGGTTACAATTCCAATCATCAAAAATTTCGATGCCATGAAAAAGAAACCGAGGGTGAGGTCTCGGCCTCAGGGGAGCGGCTACTTTCTTTTGTGTTAAATACCTTTAAAAATATACCAAATAAAAAAATGGGGAAGGGGGGGGGGGTGGGGTGATACGAATGAATCGAAGGGATCGATACTTTATTGGAATGCGGTTACAATTCCAATCATCAAAAATTTCGATGCCATTTAAATATTAAATTAAAAAAACAACATTATTTTAAAGATTAATTTAGAAAGTAAAAAATAATATAAATCTGCTTTTTATCCGACTGCATGATCGAGGTTAACTGCCCAAAAGGGGCGTTTATAAGGCCTCCCTCCTCTGGACCTTGGTAAATTATGCAGGGATTTAATTCGAGACCTCGCCATGATTATTAGTAATAAAAAAATAAAGTTTAAAAAATGTTTGAACATTTAGAACTAATCAATAAAGATATTGATAACAAACGATTGCTATTTCGCCAAGAATGACACAATAACTTTTTTAAATTTTTCTTTCTGGAAATCAAATCATCAAATCCAGAAATTGTTGAAACAATTAATTTTAGTAGGCCTTTAATTATTTTTTTAAATGCGTAATATGTAATTCTAAAAAAAATATGGACAAAAAAGTTTGTTGCAATGCCAAAGCGGTCAAAAATGGTGTGCATTAAAGTTCATCCAAAGCGAAAGCCATTTTTAAAATAAAAGATGATTTATTTATTTTTTACTTGCCTATATTGATTTTGAAAAAAAATGGGGGGGGGGGGGCTGGTTATCCCCCCCCCACCACTATGACGACCCCCCTGTTCTCCAATCTATTAGAATGTCTATTTTAGTGTGCATTAAAGTTCATCCAAAGCGAAAGCCATTTTTAAAATAAAAGATGATTTATTTATTTTTTACTTGCCTATATTGATTTTGAAAAAAAATGGGGGGGAGGGGGGCTGGTTATCCCCCCCCCACCACTATGAAGACGCCCCTGTTATCCAATATATTAGAATGTCTATTTTATGACATAAGCCCAACGTTGACATAACTTGATATTCTTCACTTCAGTTTGAACATTTTGTCCATCATCAACATTCGTAAGCCAGAAGATATCCTTCCACAACTTGTCAAAGTCAAGGGCTCGGACACCCGAGTTTTTCTCTTGCACAGTGCGAGGTGAGATTAAACCGTTTATCTGATTTAAATATGGCATTTTCTGAACATGGGCTCTTTTCTGAACATTGGCTCTTTTCTGAACATTGGCTCTTTTCTGAACATTGGCTCTTTTCTAAACATTGGCTCTTTTCTGAACATTCGTCGTTTTCTGAACATTGGCTCTTGTCTGAGCATTGGCTCTTTTCAAAAATAGCTCTTATTTATTTTTTAAACATTATTTTTCCCATTTTTATTTATGCTACTTATTTTGTGTCTTTTGCTATGGAATGGCACCAATTATCACATCTGTGTAGTCCTTTTTTAAACAATTCTTTTGGTTTGTTGAAGTGTAATGGGATGTGTAAGTGTGGCTGAATCGAACGTTTTTAATAGAGAATGACGCACGTGCACTCCAGTAGGCATTGCATTCGTCCTCTAAAGTCAGACGACCATTTTGTAAGATAATCATAAGCGAAAACCTGGTTTGCCGAGTGGTTTAGAAGATAGGATCATTTTCGTACAGGTGACTCTAATATTCGTGCCGGAATGATGTAGTGTGGACATTTCTGCCCATTATTAATGAGGATTTAAATTTTTTGGAACCTGCAGTCTCCGACGAAAGTCAAATTCACTTATCAGACATCTCCCTCCATTGAAAAAGTACCTTTCCATTTTGATTTCTGAGGAACACGTGTCTGCTGGGGCCATACACCAGTGAGATATTCATTTCCCAACTCAAATGCCTAGCATATCTTCCCTTAGATTTCTGGGAACACGTGACTACCTGGGCTATGCACCGTTGACGGAAGCAAGCTCGCGTTCAAGATGCAGGATTTTCAGTGCTGTTATTTTTGGCTCATGCTGAACATCATGTGTAGCCTCTTCCTTATTATATAATGTGTATCCTCTTCCTGAGGATATACATTATTTAAATGATTAAATAGTCTCCTTTCCGTTTTATTATTGTGTCTGATACTCCTGTTTACTTTAAAAACAATCGGGTACGGTTTCAATAGCTTTTAAAAATTATTATTTTCTTAAGATTTGAGATGGGGAAAAATGTTGAAATCACTATTACGTTTATCATAATGTGTGTATTATATTCCCAAATAGTTCCATGGCACTAGATATAATCCAGACTGCCAGAACGCTGAACCTCACAGATAAAGACTATGTATGGATTCTAACAAGAACTGCCATTCCTAATGCTAGAGAGGGTCCTAGGTCATTCCCAGTTGGTCTCATGGGTTGGTTCGTTATCTTTTAACCTGTTTCACTTGAATATTTTAACAGTCTTAAAGCATTCAAAATTTACATTTGCCGTTTTTGAATATGCTTGATCTTATTTAAAGTTACAAGCAGGCACGCAGGTTAAATATTTGAACAATTTAGTCAAAGCAAGAAAGAAAAATAGTATAAATCTAAGTTGGTAATTTTTAAATTTTAGTCGTGAAATAAGTATAGTGTCTTGTACTGAAGAAATGCTATTCCAGTCTGTATACCCATTGTAAGACATAAAGGCTAACTAAACAGCTCAGATTTAAACTATTTTTTGGTAGGTCTCAACCAGCGTGTACAAATATTAGAAAACAGTTAAAATGTTTCAAAATTGTATGACAGTTAGCAGTATTTAACTATTCTTGTGTCAACAGGAATCGACTTTGATTTTGAACTAACAGCCATGAGACAGGCGTTGAAATGGGGCATAATGATATGGCTCAACGCCCTGGCTGACATGGCTAAGACGCAAGGATTGCTAGCAAATATGACCATTCCACCAAAGTTCTCATGTGATTCTGACAAGGAGCCTTTTTGGAGAGATGGAGAAATATTATATAGGTAAGCCTATAGGAGCCAGAATGATCAATTCATTGATCGTGGGCCCTCAAAATAAAGAAGAAGAAGCCTGGTATCCATATGTTAGAATATTATATAGATAAGCCTGGTATCCATATGTTAGAAATATTATTTAGGTTAACCTGCTATGCACATGTTAGAACTATTATATAGGTAAGCCCTGTGTCCATATGTTAGCATGTGATTTACCTGAGATTGTTTATAAAATTTCAATAAGAAATTGAATGAAAAAAAAAAGAAAGGTTTTTCTTCTTCCTCTATATTTTGAGGGCCCGTGATCAATGTATTGATCATTCTGGCTCCTATGTTTGTAGAGGGGTTCACGATGTAACTGTGCATGGTTTTGAAGAGTATATTTCACTGGTTGCAAGGGCTACTCAGCGATGGTATTAAGAATTGGGGGTTGCCAGACGGGAGGCAATAGATGCAAATGCGTCAAGTGTAGTCGCCTCAACTGTTGCTTTCCAGTCCCTTATTGTCTTTGGAAGAATGAGGAGTTATGTACTGAGTAATTAGATTGTTTGTTTTTTTTATTAGCCGGAATTGCCTGTTATGGTCTAGGGGGAGAGGGAAGAAGTTATGTTTAATGCTGGAGGAGTGTACCTGCCCATTTTCTATTTTGAACATCACGGAAAGCCTGGATAGTCGTCGTTGTTCCTCCAGTGGTGACCAGGTCAGTGTTTCCTACGTGCTGCCAACACATGAGGTGTTCATGTGGCGGTTCAGGACATAGCGTGCTGCCCGCTCTGGACCGCCTCCAACCTGTCGATGCTCTTCTGGGTCCCAAACTGAAGAGGCATAATCTAAAATCGGCCGGACAAAGGCTTTATAGGCTTTCGATTTTGCCTTAGGAAACTTGGAGTCTTGTTTGCCAAATTGCACACATTGTTAATGTGCTCATCCCAGCGGACCTCTCTTTTAATGGTAACACCGAATTATCTGACGGAGCGAACTGGCCAAGGAATATGTCCATGCAATTGGTAAGGGTGGTGTAGCCTTGGATCTACTTCTGGAAACTGACAGGGTCTAGCACTTGACGTCATAAAATTCCATGTCCCAGCTCATCTCCCACTCAGCTAACCGATGGAAGTCCTGTTGTAGCTGGTTCTGTCAGAACTTTTGGCGATCGTCCTGTACACCGCCGTTTTGTCTGTCAACAGTCTTGCATGGGATGTCAGCTTCTCTGGCAGGTCATTGATATATATGAAAAAACAGGGGCCTAGCACAGAACCCTGGGGGACCCCTGACTTAACACCGACAGAGGAGGAGGTTATGCCATCTATCACCATCTGCCATCTATTGTAAACTTTGCTATGACTTAATTCAGGATTCGCCTATATTGGGTAATAAAAAATAATTAAATATATTAGCTGGCCTTCTAATAGTTAGCAGTTTACTAACCAAAAAGAACAGACCATTTCACTGAAACTTTGATAACTTTTAAATCATGTCTAAAAGCCTACTTAAAGGCATATTTCTTTATAGAAGGGAACATTTTGTTCGAATACTGCAAAGACATTTTATGTTTTAGGAGGGAAGCAAAATGTGGCTCTTATTTTTTTTTAAATTATCAGTAATATAGAATTTGCTTCTGTAATTAAAAATATTTGTTTCATTGATCATTTATTTAATTAATATTTTAAGTTTAAGATAGGTCATTATAAATTTAGATCGCCGTTTTTATTTTGAAAGAATTTCCACATTTTAGTTTTTATAATCTCTTTTTAATTATTTTTTTTAAATTTTAACAACAATTAATGCACCAGGATCTCATCAAAATTATGAATATATATTTTTTAAATTAAAAAAGTTCACGGTTGACATGTAAACGACATAAATATATATAATATTAATATTGGCTTTAAGATTAAGACTGTCAGTGACTGATATGAACATCTTTTGATAAGAAAAATATCTGTTATTTTTTAAAGATAAAAATAACATGAAACTTAACTCATTACATTTAATAGAAATACTCCACTGTTTGGTCCATGATTCTGTACTGCTTATTTCAACATTGGTAAAATTTAGATTTAAAACCCAATACCACACAATTAAAGTTTCAATATAGTCAGGACTTTTTATTACTGAAAATATAATTTGTCCAGAAGAAACATTTCTGAGCTTTAAAATTCAATTGTATGCCGCATGCCAAAACCAATAAAAACCTTAAAGGTATGTTAAATACATAAAAAAAATTTGAACATCATTGCTTTATGTTGTTTTTTTTTTTACAGGCACATGTTGAAGGTAAATATACTTGGTGAACCACAAATCAAGTTCAATGAAAATGGAACACTCCAGCAGACAGATCTTATTATTGTTAACTTACAGTGGATTGTTGGCGGCAAAAACAAAACAGAGTGGAAGCAGGTTTGTATTTAGGATCTTTGTGTTAACTCTTTAAAAAAAATGAAAATAATTACTTTATGAGAAACCCTTAAAATTTATTCTTTAAACATTAATTTTAATCAAAAACAAATTCTTATATCCCAGTAACAAGCTTAAAATAGTTCAAACATTAACAAAATTTCAAACAATATATTTTGATCCATTTTCGGACCTAACCTGTAAGCTTCTTCAATATAAATGTGTAAACATTGTTGAAATTTCTGAAATATTTTAGTTTTACATATAAAAAAAATGAATTGTATGAATTTGATAGTTTTCTTTCTGTTAAAAATATATTAAAAGTTTGGTTATAAAATAGATTTTTTTCCATTTTAGGTAGGACGGTGGACATTGCATGGATTGAAAATGAATGAAATAGTGTGGCCAGGAGAATCAACAGTTCCTCCCACTGGCAAGCCAAAAAGAGCTTTTCTACGAGTGGCAACTTTGAATGAACTTCCTTATGTCATTTATAGAAATCTTAGTGAAAATGGAGGATGCGAGGAAAAGTCCCTTCCCTGTCAAATATACAACAGAAATGATAAAAAAGAAATGTAAGAGAAATAGTTGGGCTTGATTTTTGAAAAATTATTGTTTTTTCATTTTTTCCTTAAATAATTATTCTGATGTTAAATTATTTCATTTAGTATCTTGTAAAATTATTGAAATTGCACAATAATTATTCAGTCCAGACTAAAAAAAAAATTGTTCTTCTTTTGTTTGAAAAAGTGGGATAAATCTTAAAAAAGTTGGAAGCTTTGTGTCACCTGAAAACATTTTAGACTCTTTAAAACAAGTAACCTGGTTCACGTACAAATTTCATAATACTTAGGCCTACAATAAAAATGAGGAGTTGGTATAGAATTTTGTGGGAATTTAAAAGCATAAGTTTGTTTCTCTTTTTTTAAAAAAACAAAATAACAATATTTTTTTTTCCACTTAAGATATTTAAAGCTATTATATAATTAAACACAAGTGGTGATTGGTTTGTTCAAAATTTGTATTTAAGCACAAGTAATGTGACAATAGCAAAATGTTGTGCCGGGCTAAGTATGGACCTTTTGAAGATTCTCAGTGATCAACTAAACTTTGACTACGAAATTAAAGAAGTCATTGATGGGAAGTGGGGCGTTCTAATCAACAAGGTAGGAAACAGAAGCATATGAAATTTAGGCGAGCTTTTTGTTTTATTACTTATTATTAGGACAATATATTAAAAAAACACACATTTAAAAGTGGAACAAGAACAAAGATCAGATCACATAGATTTACAAATTACGACTTCTAAATATAATAATGTTCTTGAAACATTTATACTTAAATATATTTGCAATCAATTTAAGTTCCTGAGTGATGTTTTTACAACAAAAGATTAATCAGTCTAATCCATTTTAATTAATGATTTCACTCTGATTAAACAAACGTATGTGTGTTTTTAATAGTTATATAAATGTATCAAGTAATTATATAGCAAAATTTAGATTTTGCACAGAGCTCTAAATAACATTTTCTTTTTTTTGTCTACTATAATTAGATCATTTATATAACTTTCAAACTATTTCCACAGACTACAAATGCATGGAATGGATTAGTTAAAGCACTGCTCAACAATGAGGCAGATATTGTCATGACAGCATTCAAGATTAACCCTGAGAGAGCCAGTGCTGTTAATTTCTCAGTTCCTTATTTGGAAACAGGAATAAAAATAATTGTTGCCCTTCGTGATGGTGCCATATCACCCACTGCCTTTCTAGGTAAGCCCCTAAATTGTTAATTGAAATGTAATAAGATTTGAATTTATTTTCTGGGGATACCAATATTTTTTAAATTGTCTTTGTTTAAATATTTTGGTTAAGCATTCTTAAACTAAATACTTACAAACTTGGTGCTGACTTTGCTTGTTTGCTTTAAAATCAGGCCATTTAAAATAAGAATAACTAAAGCTAATTATATGTAGTTCTATGATGTTGATTATTCTTTTGTTACTAGATATATTTAAATTTTCACTGTTACCATCTTTAAGGCTAAAAATATAATTTGTGTTAAATATAACGCTGTTTAACTCTCTTTGATGTAAAAAAAACAATAATAACATCCAGTGTAGAGTAAACTAAACACATTTCAGAACCTTTTGACTTTTTCTCATGGATGTTGATCATGTTACTATCTGTGCATTTTATGGCAACGGTCATCTTCCTCTGTGAATGGGCCTTGCCCAAGAATACGAGGGCGGAACAAGGTAGCCAAGGCAAATTATTCAGGCAAAATACCTGTGTTTTAATCATTTCTAAAATATTGCATTACTTTGCACATTGATATAGATTGCATTGCCCCCTCTACCCTAAATATCTTTTTTTCTAATTCATTTTGTATTTCTTTCTCTTTATTTTTTAAAAAATAGAAGTTTATTACTATATATTAATGAATATGTTTTAGCTGTTTTTTTTCTTTTGAGAGTATTTAAATCTATTTTAGTTATCCAACATGTAAGGTAAAATTGTAATTATCCATAAAGTGGTACATTCTACTTAGATAACTAATAAGAAAATACTAAATTGATTCCTTGTTTTATCAGTTAATATTTAAGCAATGGCCCCAATATTATGTAAGTTCTTCAAAAACATTTCTCTTAAAAGCTATTTAAATTGTTTTTAAAATATTTAATTGTTATTTTGGCTAAATCTCAAATAATATTTTGCAGCTTAAACAGTTATTTATTTTAAAGAAAATTCTGTTTTATTTCAAACTAATTTCATTTCATTTTGTTTAATTCTTTCACCCAAAACCATGTTCTATTAAATTCTTAATTAATTTATGTTGAACAATATATCACACGAATTGTTGTAAAAATCATGCCTTAATAAAGTGTTGTTTTTACGAACCAAATTTCCATCATTGTCTATCCAACTTGTAGCCTTTATTTTCCCCTGGCTTGGTTTTGGACTGTTAATTGTTTTATATTCCCATTGGACCCTGTTTTGACTTTCATGATTACAAAAGAAAGCGATAGAAAGGATTTTTTAAATTAAATATTAAAATACATCATTATAAGACTTGACAAAAAAAGAACTAATAATTCCTTCAGTTTCACATTTTGAAACAACTACAAAAACACATAAGTTACCTGAATATCAGAAAATGATTTATAATACAATCCAAGTTATAGGTTTACGTCTTGCTCAAAACATTGGAAACCAATTTGTCTTATTAAATTAAAGACCATTTTATCAATCATTTAACAACTAAATGAAAACATTTTATTTACACACTCAAACATACATTTCTGCAATTAAAATTTGACTGAATTTGTGTTGACAATTGATAAATTTACTACCAGTCACAAAGCTATTTATTGCAGTGGCTCCATGACCATTCTGGTTTATGGCGCCTTTCAACAAAAAACTAAGGGATGGAGCTTTTTATGCTCTGAATGCTTGAATGGCTTGCCTTGCTATCTTGTTCCAATCTTTTAGCAAAATGTTTATGACATTTTTAAAAAAGTTGCTTTTTTAACTTACTGTCTCTTGCAGGCATTTTCAATACTCGAATGTCTCCCCATATTCCTATACTTTTTAAAAGAGACCTTTCTCAGCTCAGTTATTACCTATTAAGTTCATGTAATGAAGTTTTATAAATAGTTCAACTTTTCCCCATGTGGTCCACTGTATGCCTACTATAACAATGAATCTAGGAATCACCAGAGAACACTACACACATATAAAACTTGACTTTGGATGTTACTTTTTCTTCTTTATGCACGTGAATTAACAGAACCCTACGACTATGCTTCCTGGTCACTTATCCTTATCTTCAGTGTTCACGCCACTGGGTCATCCATCCTCATCTTTGAATGGTTAAGTCCATATGGGCTTAACCGTGGACACACGCCTATGCGAGGTAACTGAGGTAAAACTCAGGTAGTAAGTTTATAAGATTTTATTTCCCCTTAAAGAAGATATTCTAAAGAAGATATATTTTTTTACCATTTCCATACCAGAATTCAGTTAAGTAAGGCTTAGATAAAAGAAAGAGACGCTTTGTTTTTATATTTAAAAATAACAGTGTAATAGCAGAAACCAAACATCTCTTTGTTTTTAAAAGCTCACATCTTCAGATAAACTTTCTTAAGCTTTCTTTTACATTTCTCACAAACCGCTGTGTTGTTACAACATCAATTATTAGACTTATTAAAGGGTGTATTTTCATTTACTACACATATTACAGCTTTTAAAAGCACCTTATCTTAGAAAGCTGAGAAGATTTAAGACTAAATGCCTATCATGTAATGGGTAAATTTTAAAAGATACTTAAAATCAGTAAATGAATATTACATTCTTGTAAAAGAATATTGTCAGTAGATGTAAATTCTTGGGACATCATCTTGTGTAATTTATTTGCTTCTTAAAATTAATCATTAAAATAAACTCTCAAATTAACCATCTTGCAAATAAATTAAATATAAATCTAATGCAAAGTTAAAATATTTCTTAGAGCAAAGTTTTAATGTCCATAAGACTAACAATGGATTTATTTCTCTATGATTTTATATATCTATTTTTAATTGCCTTTACTCTTTTGACGATTCTAGTTATTATCTGTCATATTTCCTAAGTGTTAATAGATTAAGGGTACAATTTATGTAATCCCATATTGAATGAAAATGGCTTACTGAGCACGCACGCATCATTATTTTATCTTCAGATCTGTGCATTTGAATTTTAATTATGTATGATTGTAGTAAAGAAACATTTTTTTAAGAATTCAAAAGACTTGAAAATTTAATTACTCACAAACTTCAATTTGCATTCTGATATTATTATATAAAAATCTAAAGCATAAGACTATCAAGAAATATTAAAAATATTTTTTTTAAACTTTCTATAATAAATATTGTGTAAAAAGTCAAATTGTATTTGCCTTTTTTACAGTTACTCCTACTAACTGATAGTTTGTAAAATTTATTAATCTTAGCATTTTGAAGTTATAAAGGGCCAGTTAGTATTATTATGTATTTTTTAATTTGACATGTAATAGTATTTATTTCTTTACTCTTCTGCGATCTAATCTTTTAAAAATTATTAAATATGCAAAAAGGTATATGCTATTAATAACACTTTTACTTATCGATCAAGTTAAAAACATGAAAAACAATGTAATAAATAAATTAAGATTTTGTTGGACAATATGAAAAGATATTTAATTAATTTCTTTAAAAAAATTATTTCTTGGAAGTAATTTACCAGCTTGTTTTTTTTTTTTTTACTATTTTAGCTTAGAGAAGTTTAATTTTGAAAGAACATTTATAAAAATAATTCAGTAAAGTTAAATTTCAGAACATAAATTCGAAACTCAATTTATTATTTAATTTTTAGAAGATATGTTTAATTGGAAGTAATTTACCAGCTTGTTTTTTTTTTTTTTACTATTTTAGCTTAGAGAAGTTTAATTTTGAAAGAACATTTATAAAAATAATTCAGTAAAGTTAAATTTCAGAACATAAAGTCGAGACTCAATTTATTATTTAATTTTTAGAAGATATGTTTAGGTATAAAGAGGCAACCTACTTAGAAAGCATTATCCAATCTTTTTAGATATTGACATGTATATATTAACTCAATTTAGTATAATATTCACTGCATATACTGTTTTGCTAAGCAAGAAAAACAATTAAGAATTTTATCATCAAGGAACAACAGCATTTATAACTTTTAATAAAAAGCAAAATTGTAATATTTCTCACTAAAACCCATCTTTATAATTTTAGATCACAAGTTTTCACTTTTCCGATCATTCTGGCTTATCTGGGCAATGTTATTCAGTACATCAGTTCAAACTGATACACCAAAGGGCATTGCCAGCAGATTTCTAGCAAATATCTGGGCTTTATTTGCTCTGGTCTTCTTGGCATCCTACACTGCAAACCTGGCTGCCTTTATGATCACTAAAGAAGAGTTCTATGACTTATCTGGTATTCAAGATTACAGGGTAAGCTTTTTTCATTATATGATAAGCATACCAATATTGCTTATTGATAAAGCTGTTTAAGGCATCCATTATTTATAAACCTGTTTAAAATAAACTAGGCCTATAAACATTGGCATTTGTTCAACTTCTATTTTACCACTTTAGTTTTGTTAAATAAAAACTTTAAAAATGGATTCAATTTAATTCAATGGTTTTTTTAAGCTTCAAAATCCATACACAATGAAGCCTCCCTTCAGATATGCTACAATACCAAATGGAAGCACTGAGGCCAACATTAGGGCCAACCATAAGGACATGTACAATTATATGAAGGCATTTAACCAACCTGATGTTGATGCTGGGATAGCTGAACTCAAGCAAGGGTAAAAGTTAGGATTTACATGATAATTATATTTTATGTTTGTTATAAATATGTATAATGAAATGTTCATTTAAGTCACAGCAATTTGTTTAAACACTTACTGACAAACAAACAAAGAAATGGTGACAGTCGATCTACTACACATTTTTTGGAATAAATACATTTATAATTACAAATTAGCCTTAATTCCAACTGTAAATTTACATATTTTTGAAAGGTCATATAAAGCTTTTTATAACATTTCTATTTTAGGAGAATTCAAGCTTTTATTTATGACTCCTCTGTTTTGGAATATTATGCATCTCGTGATCCCAAATGTCGACTTGTAACTGTAGGAAACCGTTATGCTATGACTGGCTATGGTGTAGGTTTCCCACCAAATAATAAACCATCAAGGAACCCATGGATCGACAAGTTCAACAAACACATTTTAAAGCTTCAAGAAAATGGTAAATTTATGTTGCTACAGACTTAGCAGAAATTTAGACTAAACAAAAAATTTCAATGGTTTATCCATTTTTGTGTTAATTTTAGAAAAAAACAACTAAAATAATTCATTTTATTTATATTTTTCTCTGTATGATGTGGAATAATTCCAATCAAATAAATAATTAAGATATAATAAATAGAAACAGTTCTTGTCGTACAAAGATCACTGTTAAGATTCACTTAGATTTATATAGGAGCACATTATTTTAACATATTCTTCTAAAGTATTTTATTCATGACAGTTACCTTGCCATATTTCATAATTCTTAAACTTTGTATTAGAGAATGACATAGCAGAATTAATTATAGAAATCTGCATGATTTATAATATTTCAGTGAACTTTTCTTTTTAAAAAAAACCCTTCTGTTATATATTTCATAGGTGATATGGATCGTCTGCAGAAATTTTGGCTCGCTGGGGCTTGTGACACCAAAAAAGAGAAGGGCGTGTCAAATCGGACTCTTGGCATTTTGAACTTTACATCAGCATTTATTCTGTTAGGAAGTGGTGTCTTACTGGGTCTTCTAATTTTGATATTTGAACATCTTTACTTCAAGTTTTGTCGTAAACGATTGAGAAAATGGGATAAATGCGGATGTTGTGCTTTAGTCTCTTTGGTAGGTTTTCATTAAAATTTCCTAAAACTGTTGTTTGAATCTAGCATTAAAAGCTTTCTGGTAGTCTTTCAGCCTAACTTTTTAATTATTAACTACTTTGTGGATTACATCATACTATTTTCTCCAGAGGAAATCTGAGTTTAAAAAAATAATTAAAAGCAAAAAATAGTGGATGAATCTGAGTGGGTTAGTTTTGGAGTAAATTTTGGATGCTTTCTCACCACTGCTCTTAATTTAAAGAAAGCATGTAAGTTTCTTCATCGATAGAAAACATACGCTGTTAATAATAAAGGTTCTCCACACCTTCATAAGAGACCTGTTAAATGCCAAATTGTGACCCTTTGCCACATCACAGTTTTTGGTATTTGGATATTCATTGCAATTTAAAATACTTTCCATTTTTTTTTTCAATCAAGCAACTTCATTACCCCTTAAATAGATGAGACATCTCCATCGTTTGCAGAGCCCATGCAATTGCTCTGCTTTATACCTAGCTATGTGCCTGATTAAGATTTTAGTATATATTATTTCCATGCAGTATTACCCACCCCCTTTAAAAATATTTTTATTTACCGTTAAAATGTCTTGCTATTATTCAACTATTTATTCATTTAGGATATAATCTTTCAATAGAAGACCTTATCAAATCTCCTCATAATCACCAGCCTCCTAAAAACTTCATAAAATATTTCTTGCTTTCTACCACCCCACTCCACACTGTCAGCAGCTTCTGCATACATTCATTTATTCTAGTTTATTTAGCTTTGCATAGTTTTAAACTGCTAATTTTTTTTTTTTTTACTGTAAAATAATTTTCATGTAAACCAGCATATCTAACTTGACCGAAATTGATAGTATTGAAATTCTAATTGGTTGATTTCAGAGCATGGGAAAATCCCTTCAGTTTAAAGATTATGTTGATGAGGCAATGAGTGCTTATTCGAAGACACGCTGCAAGAATCCTGTGTGTGAAATCCAGATATGGAAGTTGAGACACCAGCTGGACATGGCCTTATTAAAGATTGATCACCTGCAAAATCAATTATGGTAAATAAATATTTTTGGCTTTCTTTGACATGTAATGAGCCAGGAAATAAACACAACAGCTCATATTTGGGATATAAAAATCTTATCAGTGCAAGGTGAAGACTTATGTGCTTTTTCTGTAGGGGTTTAACGTGGGTGGGGGGGGGGGGGGGTATATTATATTATTTATTTAAATCACTTTAAATGCAGTAAAAGCTCCAACATAAAAGAAAGTCTAATGGGCCCAGCTGAAATTGCCATACTAATAAATACTATAATTTAAAATAGAATAAACACAACAGCTCATATTTGGGATATAAAAATCTTATCAGTGCAAGGTGAAGACTTATGTGCTTTTTCTGTAGGGGTTTAACGTGGGTGGGGGGGGGGGGAGGTATATTATATTATTTATCTAAATCACTTTAAATGCAGTAAAAGCTCCAACATAAAAGAAAGTCTGATGGGCCCAGCTGAAATTGCCATACTAATAAATACTATAATTTAAAATAGGCTTAGATTTCTGACATGTTTCTTTATATTTGTTATATTTTCAGAAATGTAATGAAATATTTAGATGTTTAGTTAAACCTCCCTCACCCCAATCCCAAACCAAAGTTTAAAAAATCACTTTTTAGACAATTCAATATTTTTTAAACATTTAGTAACCATCAGTGTCAGGATATAATTAATAATTGTCAAGGACTGTGAAGATAAAAATAATTTTGTGAGCAAACTTTAAAAAAAAAATGTATAAATGTTTAATTATAGACTAATAGTTATCTCTATATTTACAAAACATAACTGCTTTCTTCAGTGAAATAAGTGGTGAATTTCTACCCCTGATGCCATCCTCTACAGTGGAAAATGAAAAACGGACTGAACATCAACAGCAAAAGCCTTTGGCTGTCCGAGCTAATGGTATGCAACAGTCCCAGCATTACAAAACTGAAAAATCTAATCACAGACAAGGCAAAAAAACAGCATCAAAATTACCTTCTCAATCGGCCATTGATCTTCCAGAAGTGTCTTTCCTGAGAAGCCTTGAGCTTCGTGATGGTGGCAACTTCATTGATAAGTTTGAAGAATACATAGAAAATTATGAAAAGCCAGACAGCTCACCTGTGGCCGATCACTTTTCTGATCCTCTTTTGCCACCCCCTCCGCAGGGTGAGTCACCACTCCTGGGTAGCAGTGCCTGCAATGATGACACTGGTGGTGGAGGCAGCAGTTATGGTGGGGACACTTTCCTCGGATTTGATGATTTTCACAGTGAGAATGCTGGCTCAAGAAGTGCAAGTGTTTTAGCTGGTAGAATGGCAGCAATGGGTTCATCACCCGGTAATGTCTTAAGACGCACACCCAGTTACACCTCTGCAGTGGGGAGAGATAATGGCTTGGACAGTGCAAGTGACAGTTCTCCTAATATGACCGGAAGAGTGAGACAATATGATGGGAAAACATATGTTGGAGTGGACAGCAGCAGTACAGTCACATGATATTGTGAGTTTGAAAAACAATTGTCATCATTTTCCATGTGTATTTTCCACAAAGACAAAATAAAAATCGTAGAAAGCCTTTGCATATAAGTCATTTGCAGTATCATTTATAAACTTCAGCTTTGTATAGAAATACATCATATTTGCTTAAATGCTTCACTTCTTCTATAAATATTTATTGTTCATTGAGTCTATTTCTATCACACCTAAAATTCATCACGAACATAGCTTTATAATTCCTTACTTAATTCTTCTAAGTGAAAAAGAAAATTGACATAAATTACTGTATGTTTGATGGGGTTAAAAAAAAAAAGAAGAAAGTATCAATAAATTTCAGAAATTCCAATATTTCATTCATGCTACTCTGCTTTGTAATTGCAAAACAAAGAGTAAAAGACACTGCTGAACCATGACAGCATTTTTTAAATTAATTTTATTTCAAGTGATATAATTATTAACATGTCAGCTGATGAAATTTAAAAATATTTAAAAAACCTGTGAAACACTAAATTTGTTATCTTATGCCTTAAAAAATATTAAGGCATAGATTTTTTATTAATTTCAAATTAGGACATTGAAAAAATAAGTTCAATATTTATTTGAAATTTTTTTCATATCCACTATTCATTTCTCTTCATCTTAAACTGTGACAGGTGTTAAAATAAATCATTAAGAGAAGAAATAAATATCGCTTATTCAATTCACTACATCTTCATAGAGTATTAAATTTTGCATTTATTGCGTGAGCAAAAAATATTGATGTCATTTAAAATGTTTCAACTTTCTTTTAAGCTTGTGAACTAATCTAATTTCTTTAAAATAATTTCTATCCTTACTTTAAAACAATTTTATGACATTATTGAAACCTGTTTACCCACAATTAAAACCTGTTAAATGTAAAAATGATAAAATATTGCTTTACAAAAAGTTAATTATTTGCTGAATTATATGCATCAGCTAAAATCTCATTGGTTTTGTGAGTGCAAAGTTTTAGACTGCTGCACAATTTTTGCTTATTTTTACAGGGTTGTACTAGATTAAAAAGTCATAAGTTTTGCCTATATTTATTATTATGTGGACTTATTGCATAAATATTATTTGTATTTTTCATTACCTTGAATTTTAAAACAAGTCATTTTCAATAAGATGAGGTATTTTAGAGATTAGGTGAAATTGCTTCTTTTAGTTCTTCAAGATAGTTTAGATTAAATATTAGGAAAGGTGAAAAAAAATAATAATTTACATTTTATTTGATACAGTCTTACATTAAGATATTGTAATTTTATTTTCAAAACATTGTTTAAATATGTAATATTCATCATTAAAATAATATTGTAGGTCTGTCATTAAAAATAAGCTATTTCCTTAATAAAATTGTTTTTCATGGTATGAATTTGAATATGTTTTAATTATGCGAATCCTATAAATCCCTTCTTAACACTATGACCTATGATGGTGCGCCCATGGAGAATATCTCATTACTCATATAAGAACCAACATCCACACTGTCTCACACTTACACTCATTCCACACTGACATATGGAACATTCATTTAAATCTAAACTAAAAATAGAATAACATTGATGAACTATTGTTTCGCAGTGTTATGTTCATACTGAGTCTTCTTTCAAATTCATCACATTTTCAAAATCTTTCCACACACCTCATTGCAATTAAAGATAGTAAAAATATTATCCTTTTTGAAATCCTCCAATTAACAGCTATAATTTTTGTTTGACCAGAAATTGTTAAATTTGGAATAAATTGTGAAAGTTTATAATTAGGCTTCAAGGCTACAAGTATTTTTAACAAAAAACAAAAAAAAATAAAGTAGAAAATACCTAACACAAGTGCAGCGTCTTTGAGATTTTACAATTTGAATTGTGGTTACTAAAACTAAGACACTTGGACCTTTTTCACAAAAGCAAATATATGTTATTCATAACTAATATATTTTAACTCAAAACTTTTAAAAATATTTTTTGTGGAGATAAGCATATCGAATTTGTGACTCAAATTTTACTATCGTCTAATCAAATCTTATAGATGAAACTCATTTCTATTTGAAGGTATGATAATGAGAAAATTTACTAACTTACATCATCAACTGTTAGTATTTAGAAACAAAAATAAATTGACTAAATTAAAAACCATGGCTTTTTATTTTTACTGTTTTCAAATAAAAAAACAACTATATTCCAAAAAAAATGTTTGTTTTTTTGTAAAAGAAAGTTTGTTTGTGCTTAAAATATTCTGTAGAATTCTTTTTTTCAATTTTTTCACTCTATAACAATAATATTATCCCTGAGCAAACATTTTATGACAGATAAATATTCCTTGTTTTACAGTAAGCCATACAAAGTTACCCATTTCTTTTAGGAATGACATAGCCTACACAGTGTTTGAGATTTAAACATTTTAATAATTTTTTTCCCTTTTTACCTTTGACACATTTTCTAATGACTATGGAGATTTAAAATATATTTAAAATCATATATGGGAAAAGGGCATGTTATTTTAATGTTATTTTCTCATGCTGCTCATCATAGAAGATGACAAGTAATAGATGATTAACTGTCTAGTCTTGAAAATTGTTTGATTATGTAATTTGTATGATATGTTTTGTTGAGTCTTTATTACAATATACCCTACTATTTGTGAAAACTTTGCGGTTAATGTTAAATATGGTTACCAGTAAGTTTATAATAAAGTTTGATAACAATCTATTTTTCTGAGTTTAGTTTCAAGTTGTTATGGTTAATTTTATTAATGATTTCTTAATCACATACCTAGCTACATAAGAACTAAGGAAACACTCCTGCCAGTAGTAAAACAATACTAACCTCTGAACCAACCAATTAGAATATATCTCAGTTTACTTAATTTGGTTATCTAGATAGCAGAGGCGTCACTAAGGTTGGTGTCCCACAGTGCGGTAATTTTAAAATGTCATACCTTCCCCTGGATATGTACCGAGATAAGATCATTCGTAACCAGTTCATAAAGAATCTCTTTTGCCATTGCTTGCTGGGTTTCTTTCAGCTAGATCTCCAGAGGGGTGGATGGGGGTGGGAAGCCAAGTCCCCCCCCCCCCCCCGCCCCNGAGCAAAAGTTAATATGCCCAACAATAAATAAACTGGCACTGCCCCCCCCCCCCCTCTTTTTAAAATCTGAAGTCCCCCCCCCCTTTTCCGGTGGGGGGAGGAACATTTCTGAAATAATCACTGATTGCTTGTCAGAAGAAAACATAGAATCAGTGAATAACAGTTCTTATAAAAAATGCAACAAATGTGTGGGTCGGTATTGTGTGGATTAATAGTGTGGTGTAATGTTTCGTAAAGAGTGTTATATCTACTTGTATCATGTGCAGCAGGTCTACTTTTTTTCTCTCGATATTCCGAAAACTCTGATTTGCCAGATTGTGTGTTTAATCCTGCTAGCTGATGTTTCTAAGTACTGGTTACTGCCAAGCAGTATTGGGTACTGCCAAGCATTACTGGCTACTTCCAAGCAGTACTGGGTACTGCCAAGCAGTAATGGGTACTGCCAAGCAGTACTAGCTACTGCCAAGCATTACTGGCTACTTCCAAGCATTACTGGGTACTGCCAAGCAGTACTGGCTACTGCCAAGCATTACTAGCTACTTCCAAGCAGTACTGGGTACTGCCAAGCAGTACTGGCTACTGCCAAGCAGTAGTGGGTACTGCCAAGCAGTACTGACTACTGCCAAGCATTACTGGCTACTTCCAAGCATTACTGGGTACTGCCAAGCAGTACTGGCTACTGCCAAGCAGTACTGGCTACTGCCAAGCAGTACTGGGTACTGCCAAGCACAGCGGGCCTCGACAGACGAGGGGATGTCCCAGGTCGCATGTTTTCTCTTGTCTTTATCACCACAGTTGAACTGTTTTTGTCTTTGGCTTTCCTTCCCACCCAGGTACTGATGCACAAAGTTGGCACGAGTGTCTTCTGGAGTCGTGGGGACAAGTTAGTTTCTGACTCCTTGAGGAGTGGGGACAAGTTAGTCGCTGACTCCTGGAGGGGTGGGGACACGTTGGTTGCCGACTCCTGGAGGGGTGGGGACAAGTTAGTCGTTGACTCTTGGAAGGGTGGGGACAAGTTAGTCGCTAACTCTTGGAAGGGTGGGGACAAGTTAGTCGCTGACTCTTGGAGAGGTGGGGACAAGTTAGTCATCGATCCCTTGAGGAGTGAGGACAAGTTAGTCGCTGACTCTTTGAGGGGTGGGGACAAGTTAGTCGCTGACTCTTTGAGGGGTGGGGACAAGTTAGTCGCCGACCCCTTTAGGAGTGGGGACAAGATAGTCGCTGACTCTTGGAGGGGTGGGGACAAGTTAGTCGCCGACCCCTGTAGGAGTGGGGACAAGTTAGTCGCTGACTCCTGGAGGAGTGGGGACAAGTTAGTTGCCATGTCCTGGAGGGGTGGGGACAAGTTAGTTGCGGACTCTTGGACGGGGGGGGAGAGGGGTGGGGACAAGTTAGTCGCTGACTCTTGGAGGGGTGGGGACAAGTTAGTCGCCGACCCCTGGAGGAGTGGGGACAAGTTAGTCGCTGACTCTTGGAGGGGTGGGGACAAGTTAGTCGCCGACCCCTTTAGGAGTGGGGACAAGTTAGTCGCTGACTCCTGGAGGAGTGAGGACAAGTTAGTTGCCATGTCCTGGAGTTGTGGGGACAAGTTAGTTGCGGACTCTTGGACGGGTGGGGACAAGTTAGTTGCCGACTCTTGGACGGGTGGGGACAAGTAAGTTGCCGACTCTTGTAGGGATGGGGACAAGTTAGTTGCGTCGCCTAGAGGGATGGGGACAAATTAGTTGCTGACTCCTGGACGGGTGGGGGACAAGTTAGTCACCGACTCCAGTAGAGGTGGGGGACAAGTTAGTCGCCGACTCCTGTAGTGGTGGGGGACAAGTTAGTCTCTGACTCCTATAGGGGGGGGGGGGGGGGCAAGTTAGTCACCGACTCCTCAAGGGGTTGAGACAAGTT